GGTGTTAAAATAGCACCAAAAAGTAGTGTTATTTTTTACCTAATTTTTTAACACCACTTTTTGGTGTTATTTTAACACCCTAAAATTAACAGTGTACATCGAATAACCGAAGAGAATGGTGAGTTTGCGTAGACGGAGGAATGTCAGAGATCGTTCGTAGAAATTGAAACAATTGTTAACATAAACTCCAATTTTGGCTTATCCTAATTTAGACGGCGAGTTCTGTCTGGGCACCGATGCATCGGATTCTGCATTTGGTGTTGTTTTATCACAGAAACGAGAAGATTGTGAAGAGAGGGTCATCGCATATTTTAGCCGAACTTTGACCAGATCGGAGAAGTATTATTGCGTGACAAGAAAAGAACTGTTGGCGGTAGTCAAGGCAATTGAACACTTCAACTATTAACTTTATGGGCAAAAATTCCGAGTGCGAACAGATCATTCAGCATTGCAGTGGTTGATGAATTTTATGGAAGCGCAAGGCCAAGTGGTTCGACGGATAGAGAAACTCCAATGATTTTATCGTTGAACATCGATCTGGGTCTGCCCATAAGAAAACTGATGCTTTGTCCAGACGTCCCTGCTTTGAGGAAGACTGCAAGCAAAGTGTACGTTATGAAGAAAGATTTCAGATAAAAAATATTTACCAGAGTGACAAGACGTGATATCAAGGAAACCGAAAGAAATCGGGGATTAGTAGAGAAAGATAGCGAAACACTTCCGGTTCATGTCGATAAGGCGAATAAGATGCCTGTGATGTTACTCTGTAAGTAGCGAGTATCCACACCGGGCTGGCTTGAAAAATATGCCTGGCCAGGGTGGGATTCGAACCTACTAACTTTGGAATAGTAGCCCAATGCTCTGCCAACTGAGCTACGCAGCCAGGTCGGTTCGAGTATGCGATATTTCGGAACTGAGTCTAGTTCCTTCGATATCAGTGTAATCTAATAATCATGATATTGCTGCGTTGGTGTAGTGTACTCAAGTGATTATGATACCGGTGATGTTACTCTGAGTGTGTATCCACACCGGGCAGGCTTGAAAAATATGCCTGGCCACGTTGCGATTCGAACCTACGACTTTGGCTCTGCCAACTGAGCTACGGGGTCAGGACGGTTCGAGTACGCGATATTTCGGAACTGAATCTAGTTAACTTGCTCGCCGTAATTTCAAATAAAGTTTTTAAGTTTATCTCGGGCATAATTAAATTAGCTTATAACGAACTTGGTACGTAACATTATCCTTGCGATGTTCGTCGTTTTTCAGTCATTTTGTATTACGCACGGGAAATTGACAGCCCAATCGGGTGTTGGGGCATCACACTTAGGCGTGGGAGACGAACAATCTTAAATTCCTTGAACATGCAACAACCTTTTTTCAATGATGTAGTTAATTGCGAAAGTTTTGTAAAAAAGAACATGTTTGAGTCATTTTTCAAATCCAGATCATTTGATGTCCGAGATCGAATGCCTGTGGAGTTCGTATAGTCGTTGTAATATTAAAAAATACCATTTTTTTAAAGTGTATTAGTACATTTTTCCCTGTGGGCTTGTGTCACTTTTCTTTCAAAAACCTTGAAACATATATTGCAATGAATTCCTTTCCTTAAAAAAATTTGAAACGTGTAAATGTCTTTCGCGTGCTAAGTGCTCCAATTCCATACAAAGAGTAGCAATTTAACATGTGAAGTAAATTTTCCGATATAAAACTTCGATTTCACACGAGAAAAATAAGACCGAAGAAAATTTTGCATGCGGACGTTGTATATGAACAATGATAATTTTTCCTCCACCACATAGTTTCACATTTTAAAGAGTATTTCAATAACTGATCGTGTGGCTTGAAGGTATATAACGAGTGTTTTCATACGTACGTTAAATGTCTGCCAGACATCTAATGCTGTAAAAGGCATTCTTCTTCTCCATCCCATCCTTCTGCAAAGTCGCCTTCTCCTATAACGGTGCACGAGTATTGGACCAATATCTTGCCTATTTAGAACTTTCATCGCCTAAAATAAATACGAAATAAGTTGCAATAACATTTAAGAGTGTGGCAAGCATAGCTTGTCATGCGAAACAAGATTGTAGTGAATAAATCTTATGAAGTAAACCAGGTTTATTTTATCTTTATCTTTATTAGCTCTATACTTCGGTATAACGAGCACTCTACTCATATATGATTCTAAATACACATTTGCATGATTCATATATGATTCCAAATACATTTTTGTAATCTATATATATATATATCTATATATATATCTATATATATATATATATATATATATATATATATATATATATATATATATATATATATATATATATATATATATATATATATAAATATATATATTACCATGCCGAACGCTGAAGAATCACTTTTCAAGACTTACTATTTTCAAGGGACTTGAATTCATCCATATCACAAAATTTAACCCAAATGGTCTTCATTATCGGTTCTAACTTGCTCTTCGCACAATCAAACGAAAATTTTGAATAGAAAAAATATTTGGTAGAACTCAATCCAAGATATTCGCCCGCATGTGAAATAATAATAAAATGAAAACAAAGGGTTTTTTAATTTTAAATTTTCTATATTTTCGAGGGATATCGATATAAATCTCTCACGCTCAAAAGACATTATTCAACAGTTGTTTTCATGTCGCGTAACTTGGGCAATATAATTTATTGAAAATTTCAGTAACTTTAAGAAGTCTACCCTTCCTTGCGCCGACAATGATTTATTTATAGAGATTAGCAGGGTATCTTCGATATATAGTCATGATCAAAAGATTCCATATGCTTGCATGGACATTCTTCCTGTAGCAAATTTTTAATGTAGAGTTTTTCATTCGTATTTTTTGAAGTGTAGGTATAATCATAATGATTTATATAGAAATACTTACAATGTTACAAGACTTTTAATTAGCGCACATTCTTTAGTTAAACTGGTGTAAACCACAAAATTCCACGGGGCGGTTTATAGCATTAAAAGCATAACTCAAATGGACATCTTATCACGCACCTCTGTTTTCGTTAATTCCTCAGCGTCTTTCAAAAGCAAAACACTTTGGTCCAGGGCAGAAATTGCAACCCGAGATCCAGGTTTTGCCTTTATGATGATCTTCGTTTTTTCACCAGGTTTTTTTACTTTCTCGACAAAATCAATAGAAACCTAAAATTGTGTATACATATACAGTATTTATCGCATATATTCTTGTGGCTTTATCAAGGCGACAACAGTGTTGTCGTCATCATTCACGATATCGTTTTTTCCCACTATTATCGCTTTTGCCCGCTATACTTACGGCTGTCGAAACAAGACTGCTGACTCAAGGTTTAGTCGATGTTGACTGTTTTAATTTAACATCGAAGAATAAAATAATAATACAAATCTTATAGACTGTTAAAAATATGATTACTGGCATTAAATTAAGCTCTAATAGGCAAGTAGACCAAACTTGTTACCTGATTTTCAAGTTTGTCTTCAACGTCAAACGTAATACTGTCACCAACGACTTCTTTATCCATCTTTACATAGTACACCAGAATTCTACAGTTCGGAACCATGGCTTGGGTAACGTTAAAATTAAACATGGATTTGTGTACAGTTCCTTTTTGGCGAATATTCCTACTACCTGTGCGAATAATCCTATCCAGAGTTTTCTCAATTACACCAGATGCTATCAGATTTCCTTTGCAGAGAATCTCAATAAGAAGATATGCGAATGTTAGCGAATTTGACATCAAGCAACAGTTACCTATTTTTTAAATCACATTAGTGATAGAACATTTTTATATTATGCTCATCTACTGTATGTAATAAGCTACCATAGAGTATGCATTTCACATGTGAGAGTTCGAGTTTAGCGGGAGTTTATTATTTCTTCATTCCAAGCATTGAATCTTTTTTCTATTCTTAAAACTCGTTAATAATTCATAAGTCAAACGCAAAGAAAAATCATCAGCGTGTATTATCTTTATATGTGATATTACTTATAATTAATTTACATAAACTTTAAATTTGATTTTCTCAACTTACACAACGTATTTTCACAAGTACTTCACCAATGAACTTACTAGATCAATTGTTCTTGAAGCATTTAAAAACAATAATTCGCAGTGCGTGATTTATCAGAAGATCTCGGCAACGACTCGTATTTATTAATATCTGATAAAACACTGCTGCTCATGTTTTAAATAGTACTTAATTTAAAAACCTCAATAGAGCAGAACCTCATGAAAGCAAATGATAGCATGAACTTGTTCTTTGAGATTGGATGGATATGAAAAGTTCAACGTTTTTTCTAGCTCCTTACGGGTCGTTCTACTAAAATGTTTTGTCCGAATACTGAAGTTATTGTTCAGTGTTGCATATGGCCAACAATACCTTGTGGTGAAATGTTATCTGTTTCCCCACCATTTCAGGATGAACGGTGAGCAAAACGTTTACAGATCCTTGACGTCCAACCTAAAATTAATTCTTACACATGTAACAACAATAAATAAAGTTCACTGGTTACCTGCACAACTTCCCAGGCATTGGAAAATTGACAACTTTGTTTCACACTCTGAAATAGGTTTCTTCTAAATGTTACCTACTGTGGATATAACAGTGTTATACAATAAATAGTTTTACCTTCGCTGGCACATTATCTGGTACAACTAATTTCAGATAAGATGAACTTGGTGAATACCAAGCTTTTGATTGTTTCCTGATTGTTAGATACCCTGAATTGTAGTAAGCCTAAAGTAAACGAAAGAAGATGTCTTTGTTATACAGACCGAGACCGTAGGGCAAATTTATACCGAAATTTTTCTGCACGCCGAGCAAGCGAGGTTAATAAAATGTTTTTTTGTATGGCATTTGTAGACATTTATACTTGAAAAAAACAAGAAATGCATATTAGTAGCGTGGTACATATTGTTCGGAGGAAACAAAAAAAAATAAATAAGAATGCATCTATTTCTTTCAGTTAACAAACATAATAACATGTATTTACTCTATAAATGTTCATAAACCTCCATGAATGATGGAGAAGTACAGCAATGTACTTTATGTTATTCCAATGAAGTGTCTCGCTATAATAATGTTAATGAACTATTCTCTATCTCCCCCCAAGTCTTTAATGATTGAGAGGGAGCAATGTCATTAAATACTTTAACTAAAACAACATGAACCGTGCATTTATATGATAACAAGCTTAGTTCACTCTTCCTGGAGTCCTTTTTTGTTGTAATCCTGTAAACGTCGTAAAGCTAGAGGTAGCT